CCTGGCTTGTTGATTCATTCTTTCAGAAGATGCCCTCTGGCACTTACTGTTGGCTAAGGTATCACTCTAGGCAGACCCTGGGGTACCTCAGGGACCTTTGATCTGGAGGTGACAGAAGCCTCCAGATAGTACAAGTGACCTGAGCCATGGTCACATTTTGAGAAAGAGGATGAGGAGATGGAGAGATGTGGGTGTGGTAGGCAGGACCACTCTGAGTAGTGGCATTGGGCCAGACACCCAGTGACCCAGCATGGGTAGGTCTAGATGCGTCCCAGGCAGAAGACAGGTGGACTTTGGAAGTCTCCCTTGCCTACTAGGTGCAGCCTGTGCATTGGGAGTTGTCCTCCAAGTTACATGGGAGTGTGAAAAGACACACACATCTCCATGTGCTAGGACTTTGAGGAGGTGCTTTGAGGCAGGAGAACCCAGGCAAACGTCTTTAGACTGGGACCAAGCATGATATCTTTGAAAGCCCAGGAGGTAATCACTGGGGATGGTGTGAATTCACTGGGGTGGCCTTACAGGGAGACAGAGCCTGTCATGTTCTATAGGCCATAGTCAGAAGTTTGGGTTTTATTTTAATTGTTAGAAGCCACTGGAAGGTTTTAAATAAAGGAAATTTTTTGTTTGTTTGTGGGATCGAACCCAGGGCCTTGTGCACACAAGGCAAGCACTCTACCAAACTGAACCATATCCCCAGCCCAGAAAGGTTTTGTTTGTTTGTTTGTTTGTTTGTTTTTTAAGTAAGGAAGATTTTAAGTACAAAAGGTTTTAAGGTTTTCAGCCAAATAACAACAGGGAAAAGTAATATGGGCTGTTCTCAGGAGCAAAAATATTAAAAGGGGGGGCAGCCATAGCTCCCCTGATCTATAAAAGTTTATAATGTGATGGTGGTTGGCAACATGCCCAGGGTGGCAACAGTGCAACAGCATGGTGTGTCACGTTGGTGGAGGCAAGGCCCCAGCACTGCAGGAGCCGAATGAAGTGGGACAATGAGGTTAGACACCAGCTGGGTATATGCCACTATCTCCATTCACTGCTTCAAGAAATTAAAGGAGATGTGAAAATCTGGAAAAATATTTTTTCGCTAGCAATTGAGTATAGTTTGATTTACCAGAGTGATCCTGAGCTGATCCAAATTGGGTGAGACATTTGGACCTTTTTCTTCTGAGTCTTGATTATGTGGAAGTTTCCCATTGTAGTCACCCTGATTGAGATCCTCTTCCTTAATACCTACCCTTCCCTGCCAGTGCAGTCCACTGTCCCTCCCACTGTTATCTCACTCACCTACTCTGGTGACACACTCTTCCAGTTACTACCTCAGTTTGTCCTTGCTCCTGGAAAACCTTAATTCTTGTTAAATCCTGTGACTCCTGCCCACCTACCCCTGTCCCATAGGCCCTATGCTAGCTCCCTCCATGGCTTGCACCCCTCCTTCCTGAGAAACCCCTCCTCTCTGACCCCTGGCTCCTGTAACCTCTTCTATCACCTGTGGTTTTGCTGCTTATTTCACATGAGACCAGACTCCCCAGGGAGAACCTGCTAGCATTCTGACATCTTGTCACCCATGTCCTGCATCCTCCACCTCTTCTCTGGCCACTACCTCCACAGCCGCTCTTTCCTGGTACCCTCACTGCCACTAGGAAACAAATCTTATAGCTCCCTATCTTCCCCAGCCCTACCAGTTCTCCTCTCCTCTTGAGTTTGTGAACCTGTCACTCCCTCCCTGAGTTCACACCTAATCCTTAGAGCCACCCTCAAAGTAGACACTGAGTCTAACCACAACTCACTTCATCTCTGGCATTCTGACTGGTTTCCTGTGTCTTCCACCAGTCAACTCTCAGCACATCTTTTAAAACATGAATTTCATCCAGTCCTCAGAACCAGCCTTCCCATGTCTCCCAAGTAAAAAATACAGTTTTTACAATAGCATCTGAAGTCCCAGAGTTCCCTCCCTTTTCCCTCTCTCCTCCCTTTGTCTGCCTCCAGCTACACATGTCCCTCTAGCCACAGTTCACCCCAACTACATGCCAGCCACGGGGCTTGTTCTTCCCTCTGCCTGCGGTGTCCACACCTAATGATTTGCTCCCTGTTTTTTTTCATATCTCTTATTCAGATATCCTCAGAAATGTGGTTTACCCCACCCAAAATGAAACATGCACAGCCCACCCCCAGCTATCTGTCCACTGCTGGGTTCCTTAGCATATGCATGCTTCTGCCCTCTGCCTTCTCCTGTTAGAATACGTGCTCCATGAGAACAGGGATGTTACTAGAATAGTGTGCACACATGGGGGTGTGTAGTAACTACTTGTTAAGTGAACAGATTCCATGTGGGGATCACAAAGCCCAATACTCAGCCCTGAGCCTTCATGTCTCAGGAAAGATCATGGAAGGGCTGCTGACTTGAATAGACTGGGTCCACCTCTGAAGCCTGTCCTGTTGTGGTTTGTGTGATGACTGGCTCACACACACAGCTACAAGGGAGAATGCAGTACCTCCATGTGTCCTGTGTGACATCACAGGCAGCACAGCACCCGAGACAAATCAAACATTTTTGGCAATCTTGAAGATTTTGTTTCACACTGCATTAAAATAAGAGGGCTTTTTATTTTGAGTCCCGATTTTGGTCTTTTTAAGTCTTTATTTCATGGTTTAAAAAAAAAAAAAAAAGATTCTCACGAAGTTGCCTTCAATTATCCACCACATGATTCAGCATATTCTCAATTTCCTCCCTCAGGCCAGGGAACAAATATACCATATCTAATATTTGCATCACATCTGTAAGAACCCAAAATTATGCTTGGAACAGAGATGAAAGGATAAGAGGGAGCAGGCTTGTTTATGTAACTTTTCTGCCCTGGATTCACAGTAAAGCATGGCTTTTTCTTCTCTCTAGTTCAAAAAGAACACTAAATCTGATCTGCTGCTCAAGGAACTCTATGTGGAAAATGCTCACCTCATGAAGGCTCTTCAGGTCACAGAAGAGAAGCAACGAGGTGCTGAGAGCAAAAACCGGATTTTGGAAGAAAAAGTCCATGCTCTCAACAAACTTATCAATAAGATTACCCTAGCATCCCTCTCTGTGTAAATACTGATGGTTTCCTAGAATTCATTCTAAGGAATGTTTTCTGTTTTTGCAGTACTGGGGATTGAACCAAGGGGTGCGCTATCACTGAAATACATCTCCAGCCCTTTTAAAGAATTTTTAAAATTTTTTTTTGATATAGGGTTTAAATTGCCTAGGCTGGCCTGGAACTTGGGATCTCCTATCTCACCACCCAAGTACGATAACAGGGATTATAGGCCTGGGCCATTATACCCAGCTTGAAGAACATCTTTTAAAATTAAGCCACTCTGATTCCATAATTTGCTATGGTTCATCATCTGTGCACCCTCAGAAACTAAGGATTGTAATTCTTCACCCCCAAATTAACAAATGTCCACTATGTGCCAGATGCTGGAAAAATATGCTGGTGCAATAGAGAATGTTTTGTATTAGCTATCAGGGATAATTTCCAGTCTTGTTACATACTAATGAAACAGATTTTGGGGGTTCTCAGCAAAGAACAGCTAAGAGAGTTGTTAAATCTTCAGTGTTGTATCTTTGGCTGCAAAGGTTATTTCTGGGGGCTTAGATCATGAAAGCGCTTGATGGTTGGCCTGTACACACATTCCAGAAAGGCTTCGGTTGCTGAGAACAGTCAACCAGCAATACAGGAGGGGACAGAAACCCTGCAGGTACTGCTCCCTTTGAGGGTAAGTCTGGGAAGAGCCTAAGTTCTGTGGACTCAGGGATGATCATGTTTATTGCAAATGCAATCTTTTCTTCCTTGAAATGTCATCACACTGGAAATTGTACCTATGTAAAAAAAGTATAGTTTTCTATCTGAAATATACATAAATTATGGCCATTTGGTTTATCAGAATGTACTACTGTAATATGAAGTCACTGTATTTACAATAAATTCTTTTCTATTAAAATTTTTTTTTTAAATTTTCAAACATAGAAAATCATTTCATAAGAAGCACCCATGTGCACATCAACTAGATGTGTTTGAGGTAACTTTCTGCTACAACCTTTTAGAATAGAGGTGGAAAGCTAGGTCTTTCTTTTTTTTTGAGAGAGAGAACTTTTTAATATTTATTTTCTAGTTCTCGGTGGACACAACATCTTTGTTTGTATGTGGTGCTGAGAATTGAGCCCGGGCTGCACGCATGCCAGGCGAGCGCGCTACGCTTGAGCCACATCCCCAGCCCCGAAAGCTAGGTCTTTCATTCTTGATCTTCTTCCCTCGGGGCAGCCACCATCCTGATGCTGGCATGCCACCTCTTCTTTTGGCACTTACTATAAATGTTACAGGATAAAAATTTGATAGCATTATGGAAGGACTCAAAAGATTTTGAGAATTGTTTTAAAACTGTAAACTGGTGATAGAACGCAACTTCTCGTTTTGTTTTGTTTTAATAATGGGTATTTAGGCTGGCCTCAAACTTGTAGTTCTCCTGCCTTAGCCTCCTGAGTCGTTAGGATTCCAGATGTGTGCCACCACACCTGGTAGTTAGAGTGGAACTTCTTCCATACTGATGAAAGGCATCTACAAAAACTTTAAAAGCTTACATTATACTTAATGATAAAAGACTGAATGCCTTCCACTTGGTGATCAGGATTAAGATGTGTGTTCTCTACTTTTATCCAACACTCTACTGGTGGCTCAAATTAGTACAATCAGGCAAGAAGAAGAAATAAATGTATTTTGATTACAAAGGAAGGAGTAAAAACTTTCATAAGAAAACATGACTATGGATGTTGAAAATGATCTACAAAAAAGCTATGAAAGTAAATAAATTTAGCAAGACAGCAGGATACAAACCCAACAATCAATTTTCTTTCTGTTTACTAACAATTAGAATCTGAAATTTAAAATACTATTCCAAAACTAAGTAATACTAAACCTGTAAACTGAAAACTACAAATTATTGAGAGAAATGGAAGACAGAAATGATTGGAAAGAAATCTTTATTTCTGGATCAAAAGAGTTAAGATATCAGCTCACATATCAGAACAGATCTGAGGGTCCAGAAATAAACCTGTACATACACAATTTTTTAAAAAGATGCAAAGGTAATAGAGCAGAGAAAGAATAGCCTTTTCAACAAATGGCACTGTTAAAGTTGGATCCATAGGACCTGGAAAGGAAAACAAAAGTGAACTTGGAAGCATACCTTGTAGCATAAACAAAAAGTAACTCAAAATGGATCATAGACCTAAGTGTAAAACTTAAAAAACTATAACTCCTGGGCATTCTTATATAGATGAAAAAAGGAAATAAATTGTGACCTTAGTGGGAAGAGTTCAACAGATGCAACACTAAATAATAAACAGATGGGATTTAACCAAAATTTTAAAAAGTCTACTCTTGCCAGGTACAGTGGTACACATCTGTAATCCCAATCACTCAGGAAGCTGAGGCAAGAGGATCACAAATTCCAGGCCAGCCTTATCAACTCAGTGAGACTCTGTCTCAAAAAGATAATGAGGATGTGGTTCAGTGGTTTAGGTGCCCGAGTAGAATACACAAGACCTTAGATTCAATCCTCAGCACCTGGGGGTCCGGGAGAACAGAATGTGCACCCACTCATTTCACATGATAAGAATACTGTCACCAAACCTGGGTCTGGTGACCACTGTGTTCCAGCTTCATGTGGTTTGCATGGTCCTTTAATTGAACCTGAGTAGTCTATGACTGTGCTAATGGAATGTAGCACCACACCCAGCCTTCCATAAAACAGCTCCCACTTCCACTGTCTATATTGTGAGGACCTTGAGCTGCCAGGTGAAACTTGCCACTTTTGAGAACAATATGAGACCACACAGATAAAGTGAGCCATCCCAGCCAGGCCACCATCAGAAGGCAATCTTGCAAGCAAGATCTGCAGAACTGCCAAGCTGAGCCCACTCAAGTCACAGAAATGTGAGAAAATAAAATAATGTGGTTTAAAGCCACCACATTTCAGGTAGTTTGTTTCAAAGGAAGAGATAACTCAAAACACTGACAAGGGCCAGGCGCAGTGGTACACACTGGTAATCCAATTGCTTGGGAGGCTAAAGCAGGAGGATCACGATTTCAAAGCCAGCCTCAGCAACTTAGCAAGGCCCTAAGTAACTCAGTGAGACACTATCTCTACATAAAATATTTTAAAAAGGCTGGGGATGAGGCTCAGTACCTCTGGGTTCAATCCTCAGTACCTAAAAAAAAAAAGAAAAAACAAAAAAAAAAAACACAAGGCATAGACACACACACCCACGAATATAGTTCCATTCACTTTACTTGAAAACAAATGACAAGACAAATAGGATTGTACTCCACCTACGGTACAGCTAATAATGGCCACACAAGATGGTAATATTTAGTAAAGAAAGGGAACTTAACCTACTATTTTTTTTTCTTTCTTGTTTTTTGTGGTGCTGAGATTTGAACCACTGAGCTATATCCTCAGCCCTTCTATTTTCTACATTGTACTGTTTTTACTTTTTTTAACCTGTATACATATTACCTTTAGAAGAAAAAAATGATTTATGTTTAAAATTCCAGTCACAATTACAGAGAGTCTGTCAATATAAATTGACACAAATACCACAATTTTGAATTTTCAACTGATATTCATTAATTTCGCATAAGGACTCAGGCTGGGTGACTAACCCCCTATTTTGAGATGGTAAGTGAGCATCAAGTCTTACAAACATGTATTCCAGAAATTTGGGACCCTGGCATACAAAATTCACATTACCAGAAAACACTCAAGATTCATAAGGATCTGCCTTCTTTCTGTACAGCCATGAAACTCCCTTTATTTCAAAGAGATTCAAACTTATGAATATTTATTTTCATTTATAAAAACATACTGTAACAACAATGAGAATGTTTTGATTATAGATAGAACTTAAAATTTTTTTTTTTTTGGGGGGGGGGGGTTTACCAGGGATTCAACCCATAGGCACTTTATCACTGAACCAAACTATATCCACAGTCTCACTAAATTGCTTAGGGCTTGCTGAGGCTAGCCTTGAGCTTGTAATCCTCCTGCCTCAGCCTCCTGAGTAGCTGGGATTACAGGCGTGTGCCACCACATGTGGCCAGATACAGCTTTTTTCCAGAAAGGAGCAGAAGGAATGGTATATACACAGAAACAAAGGTCCTTAATACACCTTGGCCAACTATTTCTTTTTTTTCTTTCTTTTTTTTAAAATACATTTTAGGTATTGGGAATGGAACCCAGGACCTCCCATGTATGGGACAAGCACTCTACCATTAAACAAACCCCAGTTCTTTTTGGTTATCTTACAGTCATCTGTAAATTTTAAATCCAAGAGGGAGGTGCGGGGAGGAGAGTTAAAGTATAGACATTTTTGTGGAATGTGTTCAGCCTCATCCTTGGCAAAGCCTCCCCATGTGGTCACCATGAAACGCAGTCATGACAAGATACAATTACGACAAGACATGCTCCAGAACTCCTTGTCTGATCAACTGCTCACACTTCCATCGAGGCAAAAAGTGCTACAGAGGAAAAGGAATAAAAGGAAGAAGAGTAAGAAAAGTGACTTGAGAAAAAATTTTAAATTACATTTTTTAAGCAGTACTCTTTATATTTATTGTCATAAATGCTTTTCCAATTACATTTTGCATTATTAAAATACAGCAGTTGACTATGTTTTGAAAGCTAAGTAATGAAAAGCTAAACTTTATTTGTTGTTATAATCAACTAAAATTGATGCCATTTGTAGCTATAGTGAATCAAAACTACTCAAGAAGCAAAATGTAATTTCAGTGACACTGCACTGGATATCCTATCTCACAAACCCAAAGGCCCTATGAAAGACCTCTGAACCAAATTCTTCCAAACCAGTCATGGGGACACAAAGACCAACAACTATTATCTAAACAATGCCTTCCACATTGTCAAGTATTAAAGAACTTATGGTAAGAAAATGTTTTCCTATTAATGTTTACATTATATAGATGACGTACACCACAGATTCTATAGACAATCAATTTTAGATATGGTCTGAATTATTGATTGTTTGGAACTTGCAATAATCTTGCGTCAGTCTCCCAAGTCACCAGGAATACAGGCATGTGCTATCATGCCCACCAAAACAGTCAAGATGATAAATGTTATGTTTTATATATTTTACTATAATTTCTTGTTCAGTGATGAGGACTGAACCAGAGACATGGTAGGCAAGACCTCTATCACTGAGCCACATCCTTATCCTGGTATGACATTTTAGAAACCCCTTGCATCAAATAATTGATAATAAGTTTCAAATACAGTTATGTTTTATGTTAATGTCTCTATTTCTACAATTGAGGGAAAGATGATAGCTGGTAGACAAAACATTAAAAGTATCAAAAGAGGAAAGCTTTGTTTATATGTCCACAAGGAGCAGATGAGTGTTCCAAGGAATCATTGCCTGAGCACACAGCAGACAATCAGAAATAAAGCCTAAGAAACAGATTCAACCACAGGACAGTTTGGGAATGAAGTGGTATCTTTACATTTACATATCTTGCTTTCTGAGGACACCTTTGCTCTTACTACAACTTCCTGCTGAATCCTCTAGAAATACAGTCTTTATTATGACAGCATGAATTTATCACTTGCTTTTGATTCACTGGTACATACCTCTAAGAGTTATGAGAATGAAATTGCTTTAACAACCAAAGATTTTATGGTACCCTTAAAATCTATTTTTAAAATATTCAATCTTTGTTTTAGGAGGCAATTGCTATAAAGTAACAGTAAAGTAGACCAACTCACCTTGTTAGGGAAATAAGCCTAAGTACTATGTGACCTGAAGCATTTTTTTGCTCCTGGGCTTAGTCAGCACCAGTGACTTTTGGTATCCTTAGACTTTCAACTGGTCAGTACCAAGATGACAGGCAAACAAAGAAAAAGCGGCTCTTATAAAAGCCACAAAAATCACTCATATACTGTGATTTCACAAAATAGGAATAGTATAAAAATAAATTTAGCTAATGTGAACCCATCAAATATGAAGACTGTTAAGGAAACATGCTTTATGAAGAAAAATTTAGCTGCAGTTATAATTTTACAACTTCCATCTTTCCCTATTAAATTGTTATATTAGCCAGGTACAGCCCACACCTATAATCCCAATGACTCAGGACACTGAGGCAGGAGGATCACAAGTTTGAAGCCAGCCTTAGAAACTTAGCAAGACCATGTCTCAAAATAAAAATAAAAGGGGCTGGGATATAGCTGAATGATAAAATACTCCCAGGCTCAAACAGAAAGTTATATATAAATTACTAAGAAATTCTTTGCCAAATAATTAGGAAAATGATTGCATGGGAACTTTTTTTTACTACTTATAATTTGAAGACAGAAACTAAATCCAACATTTTAATAGCCCCAGATCATGATCTACTGTATACCTAGCATAAGGCCCATAAAAATAATTTCCCTGGAAAATGCTTAATATTAAATATGTTTAGAAAAAATAAACATAATGCCTAAAGTATAGGTGATCACAAGATGATATTTATTTTGCTGCTGACTCTACATTTCCACACTCATTACTCTTAACAAGATTCAAGGTAAAATATCTAATGACAAGAAATACCTGGCTGTTTTTTTTAAGTAGGACTGAAGTGCCATCATCATCAACTTCAAATTCCCCATAGTCTTTTAGACACCGCACCTAAAAGGAAAAAAAAAAAAAAAACTAATACTTTATCTAAATTTTTTGGTTTTTTCATTCTTTCTTTAAGATGTTCAGGATGATTCTGAACTCCTGGACTCAAGCGATCCTCCTGCCTCAGCCTCCCAAATGGCTGACACTACAGATTCATGCCACTGTACCCAACTTAAAATATTTTTAATAGGTAGTAAACAAGAAGAAATCAGGTAACACCTGAATACCTACAGAGTAAAATATTAGGCTTTCCATCTGTTTCCTTTCTGTATACTTAGGTCTAGTGCTACTACTGTGATATTCTCATGGTTCTAATTGTCCTGCTTTGATAGGGAAAAAGAAAAATGGCAAAATGTCTGTATGTGTATGTGTATTAATGTTGAAAGCAAGAACATCCAGGGAGCTGAATAAAGAAGATATCATTGGATCCTTTCCCCTCTGAAAATCCTGAAAAAGTAAGCTTTTGAAATGTCTACCTACAAAAAGTTTAGATCTCCTCCAGAATGATTCTTATAGATCTCACCCATAAAATTTTTTTCCATACGATTTATTTTTACTTTTAGTCATACACGACAGCAGAATGTATTTTGACATATAATACATACATGGAATATACATACATCAATCATATTGTCTATTCTATTCTGCTGCCCTTCCTATCCTCCCTACTCCTCCCCTCCTCTCCCATCCTTTCTCTCTATCCAATTTAATGTGACACACTTTTTTTTTTCTCATCACATCATATATGTATTCTGTATAACAATGAGGTTCTCCTTCCATCTTCCGTGCAACTCCCCTTCTCCCTCTTTTTTCCCTCCCACCTCTCTTCCCAATTTAGTGGTAGTCTTCTTCTCATGCTCTTCCTCCCTATCCCATTTTGAGTCACCCCCCTTATATCAGAGAAAACATTCGGCATTTGTTTTTTAGGGATTGGCTAACTTCACTTAGCATAATCTGCTCTAATGCCATCCATTTGCCTGCAAATGCCATGATCTTACTTTTTAGTGCTGAGTAATATTCCATTGTGTATAAATGCCACATTTTTTAATCCATTCATCTATTGAAGGGCATCTAGGTTGGTTCCACATTCTAGCTATTGTGAATTGTGCTGCTATAAATATTTATGTGGCTGTGTCCCTGTAGTATGCTCTTTTTAGGTCTTTTGAGTATAGTCCGAGAAGGGGAATAGCTGGATCAAATGGTAGTTCCATTCCCAGCTTTCCAAGGAATCTCCATACTGCTTTCCAAATTGGCTGCACCAATTTGCAGTCCCACTAGCAATGTAAGAGTGTACATTTTTCCCCGCATCCTCGCCAGCACTTGTTGTTTGACTTCATAATGGCTGCCATTCTTATTGGAGTGAGATGGTATCTTAGAGTAGTTTTAATTTGCATTTCTCTGATTGCTAGAGATGGTGAGCATTTTTTCATGTATTTGTTGATTGATTGTATATCCTCTTCTGAGAATTTTCTGTTAAAGTCCTTGGCCCACACACCCATAAAATTTTTATCAATACCTGAGAATAGGACAGAGTTTGCCAAATGTCTACTTTTAGAACAGATTATTCCAATCTCCTTTGGTCATCAGACTTCCCTAGAAATTCTTAGTGTACACCATGAAGGAACAGATGCAGCCTCACATGACCAGAATTGGGAAAAGTTGTTGTTTGGAAAAATGAGGTAGACTTTTGATAATCAATCACCTTTAAAACTGTAAAGAGACACTGAAAATAAGCAGGACAGTTTTCCTCCTCTCTAAGAACCCAGACTAGTATTCATTCTTAAGTACTAGGACTGGCTTCAAAACACTGCTACTGCTGGGCACAGTAGCACACACCTATAATCCCAGTGACTCAGGAGGCTGAAGCGGATCCCAAGTTTGAAGCCAGCTCAACAACTTAGCAAAGCTTTAAGCAACTTACTGAGACGCTGTTTCAAAATTTAAAAAAAGGGCTGAGCACTTAGCTCAGTGGTAAAGTACCCCTGGGTTCAATCAATTTCCAGTACCAAAAAACAAACAAGAAAGAAAAGAAAAAATGCTGTTTCCTTCCAGTAAAGCCAACTTAAGTGTCTCATACTTTTCCAGATAATTTCACCATGTCCTATGATTACTCCAGAATCTTACCAAAGTATTTTAACCTTGAAATACTATTCTAAAAAATCTCCACCACCTCCTATTTATTTCTTTAAGCAGAAATTTATTTATTTGCCTCTCTGGATGGAGAGAAGATTGCTGGGGATTGAGTCGAGGGCCTTATGTGTGTTAAGCATAAGCTCTACCACTGTACTACATCTCCAGCCCTAGACTGGACAAAAAAAATCCACAGCCAACATATCAATTGTGAAGGACTGAAATCTTTTCTGCCAAGTTCAGAAACAGTGTGAAAATGCTCACTTTTGTCACTTATGGAAAACCCTGAACACATTCAAAAGTAAAAAAGACTAATGATACTCCATATTCACTTCAACTAGCTTAAACAATTATTAACATGTGGCCAAACAGGTTTCCCTCCTTCACTTTTGAATTATTTTCATATCTATTACTAGAAAATAAAATTCTTTTTAAAAAGATAATCACATTACTATCTCAACACTTTTTTAATATCTTGAAATAGTCATTAAATATCCAAATGTCCCCAATTGTCTCATGATTTTTTCTTAAGTTTCTAGATTGAAATCAGAATTCACTTAGAGTTACAAAATACATGTTTTTTTTTGTTGTTGTTGTTGTTGTTGTTGTTGTTTTGGTCTTAATGTATAGGTTTCCCTCCCTCTTTTATTAACTTTTTTTTTCTTCCTCCTGGCAATTTATCTGTTGAAGAAACTGAGTGGGTAGTTTGGTACATCTTGCAACAATCAAGATTTTGTTGTGGATTTTGGTGGGTCATTTACCATGATCCTCTTCCTGAATTTCCTATAAACTGGAAGACAGGTCTAGAGGTTTTTTTTCAGACAAGGTTTTGTATTTTGGCATTTCCTGTACTTCCTCTTATAAGTGGTCCTTTCTGGATTTTAAAAATGATCAGTGGGTCTAAGTGTTATCTATAACTATCCATCATAAAAGTCCAACTATTCACATAAAGATTAAGTAACTATTTTCTTCTAGCATTAGGGTTATAAAATGGCATTAGGTCTATCTTTTATTCCTACTGCTTTTGTTAACTGGAATTATATAACAAGTTTCCCTCATAAACTCTGGTGCTTCCCTGAGATAGTCTGTACTACTAATTTATGACCTTTCAAAATGACTTTGATCCTTCATTCTCCAACAGGACTACATAATCACTTCCATATGTACGAGAAAAAGCACTTGGCAAAATTCAACACCTTTTCGCGACAAAAACACTTAACAAACTAGGAACAGAAGGAAACTATGTCAACATAATAAAAGCCATACACAAAAAAATCCACTGCAGTAGCCAGGTGCAATAGTACACACCTGTGATCACAGCAACTCTGGGGCTGAGGTAGGAGGATTGCCAATTTGAGGCCAGCCTCAGGACCTTGTGCCCTATCTCAAAATAAAATTTTTAAAAACGGGTTAGGGATGTGGCTCAATAGTAGAATGCTTGCCTAGAATTCATGAGGCCCTGGGATCAATTCCCAGCACCACAAAATCAGTAAATCAGTTAATTAATTTTAAGAGCACTTGCCTTAGCATGTTCGAGGCCCTGGGTTTGATCCTCAGCATCACACAAAAATAAATAAAGATATAAATAAATAAATAAGGGCTGGGGTATAAATCAGTGGCACAGCACCCCTGGATCTGATCCCCAGTAATGCAAAGGAAAAACAAAATCCACAGCAAACATATCAATTGTGAAGGACTGAAATCTTTTCTGCCAAGTTCAGAAACAGTGTAAGAATGCTCACTTTTGTCACTTCTGTTTAATATGTAATTGGAAGGTATAAATGAGTAATTGGGCAAGAAAAAAATAAAAGCATCTAAATTAGAAAGAAGTTCAGCATGGTAGTGTTCTTCTGTAATCCCAGCTGCTAAGGCAGAAGGACCACAAATTCCAGATCAGCCTCAGCAATTTGGCAAGATCCTGTCTCAAAAAACAAACACCAACAGAAAGAATTAATTATTTCTGTCCATAGCTGATATGACTGATATGACTGTACATGTAGAAAACCTTAAAGATCACTTCAACACACACAAAAAAGCTGTAACTAGTGAATGAATTTAGCAAAGTATCAGGATACACAGACAACACACAAACCTCAGTTCCATTTCTATACACCAACAATGAAAATATGAAAAAGGAAATTACAAAAATAATCCCATTTATATAACATGAAAAAGAATACAATACTTAGGAATTAACTTAGCCAGGGAAATGAAAGGCTTGTCAATGAAAACTATTAATCACTGCTGAAAGAATTTAAAGAAGATAATAGTAAGTGAATATACCACCCATGTTCATGAATTAGAAGATACAATATTAAGAGGTAAACAGTACTCAAACCAATCTACAGAGTCAATACAACCCCTATTAAAATCTCAATATAACTTTTATAAAAATTTCAAAGATATATTTTGGACAAATAAAAATCAATCCATAAAATCTCTAGAGACCTCAAACAGCCAAAGCAATCTTGAAAAATAACAAATTTTAGGGACTCATTTCCTGATTTCAAAACCTACTACAAGGCTTCAATAATTAAAATAGTCATAGTTCTGGCATAAAAACACACACATAGCAATGGAACAGAATACAAAATAAACTCTTTTTTTAATATATACTTTTTAGTTGTATGTGGACATAATATCTTTATTTTATTTTTTTATGTGGGGCTGAGGATAAAACCTAGTACCTTACATGTGCTAGGCTGAGCCACAACTCCAGTCCCCAAAATAAACTCTTGAATGGTCTTATGAAAAGGGTACCGAGACCATTCAATGCAGAAAGAAAAATCTTTTCAAGAAAGACGTACAAAAGAAGAAATGTTGGAGTATTACATTACACCATATACAAAAACTGACCTAAAGCACAACTCTTAGAAAACTTAGGGCAGAAGCTGTACAACTTTGGATTTGGCAACGATTTCTTGGATATAGCACCAAAAGAACAAGCAGCAACAACAACCACAGACAAACTGGATGGCATGAAGCTCCAATCTTTTGTGCATGTGAAGAAAGTACTAATAACTTAAAAAGGTAATCCACAGAATAAGAGAAAATATTTGCAAATCATATATGTGAAAAAGGATTACTATCCAGACTATAGAGAACCTAAAACTCAACAAAAATGTAAACCCAATTCAAAATGGGCAAAGAAACCTGAAAAGATATTTTTCCAGACATATAAATAGCCAAGAAACGTGAAAAGATGCTCAACATCACTAATTATTAAAGAAATTCATCTCAAACCTAAAATGAGATAACATTTCTGACAAAAAATTATGGATGGCCATAATTTTTTAAAAAGGGAAAAATATGATATAAATTTTGGTGAGGATGACGAGAAACTGAAACCTTACATGCATTATTAGGAGAATGTAAAATGGTATAGCACTTGTAAAACAGTACGTCAGTTCCTCAAAGTTTAAACACCATGTGACACAGCAATTCTATTTGGGGTATACACCAAAAAGAAATGAAAGCAGGGTCTCAAATTGTATGTGTGTGTGTGTGTATGTTTACTGAAGATGAAAGCCAGGGAATTGCCACTACTAAGAGTGCACTGAGATACATCTCCAACCCTTATTTTTAAACAGGGTTTCACTGGCCCAGGCTGGCCTCAAACTTACAAACCTCCTCCCCAATCTCCCTGGAATTACAGTATCCATCAATGGATAAATGGATAAGGAATATGGTTTACCCATAAAATGGAATATTACTTTAAGTAAGACCTAAAAAAGGAAAGAAATTCTGACACATGCTACAAAATGGATGAATCTTGAAAACATTATGCTACATAATAAGCCTGTCACAAAAAGACAATTACTTTATGATTCCACTTCTATAAGAAACTTAATAGTTAAAATCATAAAGACAAAGTAGGAGCTGGGGTTGTGGCTCAGTGGTAGAGTGCTCACCTAGCATGCGTGAGGCACTGGGTTCGATCCTCAACACCACATAAAAATAAAGATATTGTGTCCACCTAAAAAAAAAAAAAAAAACTAAAAAAATAAATATATTAAAAAAAAAAAAGACAAAGTAGACGGTGGTTTGCAAGGGCTAGGAAGAGAGGAGATTTGGGGTATTACTGTTTAGTGGGTTTAGTTCCAGTATTATGAGGCAAAAAGAAATCTGGACATGGATGGTGTGAGGGTTGCACAATATTATGAAAGCATTTAATACTTTCTGAACTATATACTTAAAGGATAGGTAAGCCGGGCATGATGGTACATGCCTGTAATCCCAGCAACTTGGGAGGCTGAGGCAGAAGGATCACAAGTTCAAAGCCAGCCTCAGCAATTTAGGGAGGCCCTAAGCAATTTTTGAGAGCCTATTCCAAACTAAAAAATAAAAAGGGCTAGGGATGTGATTCAGTGGGTACAACCCCTGATACCAAAAAAGAAGATGGTTAAGATGATGAAATTTATGTTTTGTATATTTTAGTGCAATAAAATAGGGGGAAAAGTTTAAAAACCAAACAGAAATAATTCCTACTTGTCTAATTTATCAACATGAAAGATAGGTTCATTTGTTTCACTGTTTTCAAAATTTAGGGATTCCTCTGATCCCTGGCATCTCCACAGGTAGGGGTGGAGGAGGTGGAATAGGGACTGGGTTTCCATTTTGATTAAATTTTGTTTTCATAATAAGTAAAACATTCATATGGTTCTAGAGATAAAACTATAAAACAAAGTATGGTCACAGAATTTTAGCTGTTTTATTGCTACCATCCCCATATTGGTCACCCAACTTTATTGATTTGGGCTTATGCTTCCTTTATTTTTAAGTAGCAGCTAACATGTATTCATTCATATCCCTCTCCCTCACCTTAGACAAAAATAAGCACAACCTATACATTAAAAAATGTACATACTAGGTGCAACGCCACATGCCTCTAATCCCAGTGGCTCAGGGGCTAAAGCAGGAGGATCATGAGTTCAAAGCCAGTCTGAGGAAATTAACAAGGTCCTAAGCAACTTAGTGAGACCCTGTCTCTAAATAAAAATATTAAAAAGGGCTGGTGATGTGCTCAGTCATTACGCACCCTTGGGTTCAATGCCTGGTACCAAGAAGAAAAAAAAAAAAAAATATATATATATATATATATATACATACTTCAATATATAAACTTTTTGGAGGTTTCATATCCTGTGTGATGTCCAAACCTTCATCTCCTCCCAGTGACCTCATATAGGTAGCAAGGGACTTTTTATACTGATTAAACCACTCTATCTGCAAATATAAATACAGTCATTTAATAAAGTTATAAGAAAACTTGCACAAATTATACACTCAGCCTTTCAGAAACAGCATATACATCCCAATGTAGATCACTATTATGGCCATTCATTCATTTTACACTGCAATTATTGATTGCGTTCTATGAACCTGGCACTGTTGTGGATACTTAGGAGGGAACATTCAACAAAATGACAAAAATCTCTGCTTTCAAAAGTTTATAACATATTAATCATAAACCTATATTTATGATTGGAAACATCATAAAAACAACATTTCAGAATTACAAACACAATTATAAAATAGCATTGATGCTATTTCTAAAAATTAAAAAATACTTTTGAGAAAACAACCCAAGTATGCATCAATCGATGAATGGATATATATATCCACACAATAAAACAGTATTCAGTCATAAACAGAAATAAAGTTCTGAAACGTTTTTTACCACACAGATGAACCTTGAAAATTTAAACTAAGTGTAAGAGGTAGAAGGCAATATATTGCCATGATTCTACTCATGAAAAACCCACAGTAGGCAAAGAGACAAAAGTAGATTGGTGATTTCTAAGTACTGAAATGGAGAAATTATGGAGTAACTGATGAAGAATACATGGTTTCTTTTGGGGGTGAGGAAAATATTCTGGAAAAGAATGATAGTAATGGATATACAATTCTGTAAGTGTACTGAAAACGAATGAATTTTATACTTTAAAATGATAACATTGTGGTATAAGAAAGGTATCATAGGGCTAGGGATATAGCTCAGTTGGTAGAGTACTTTCCTTGCATGTTCAAAGGCCCTGGGTTCAATCCCCAGCACCACAAGAAAAAAAGAAAAAGAAAAAGAAATGGATCTTAGTAATCTATTATTTAATTTTTAAAAAATCTGTTAAAGGTGTATTAAGAATTGTATTGCAAAAAAAAAAAAAGAGTTCTTGTATAATGGCATAATTTGGCGTGAACATACTTTATATACAGAGTTAAGAAAAGTCGTTCTGGGAATGGATAATTATGAATGCAATGCATTCAACTATTGTCATGTATGTAAGAAATTTTTTAAAAAAATCTGTTATCCAAAAACCATTGAAATGAAAGAAGATCTAAATATATGGAATGTATACCACATTAACAGATCAAACAATTCAATATTGTAATTATGTCAAATGATCTATATGTTCAACTCAGTCTCACTCAAAAAATTTGAAGGCAGGTGCAGTAGAGCATGCTTGTAATCTAGCGGCTCAGGAGGCTGAGGCAGGAGGATTGTGAGTTCAAAGCCAGCCTCAGCAAAAGCAGAGTGTAAGCAATGTTGGACCCTGTCTCTAAATAAAATATAAAGCAGGACTGGGAATGTGGTTCAGTGGTTGAGTGCCTGAGTTCAATCCCTGGAACCCCCCATCCCCTCAAAAATGACAGATTGAATCTAAAATTACACAGGAATGCAAATGGTCAATAGTTGAAATACCTGAAAAAGAACAAGATGGGAATGCTTGTTCAGACATTATGATAATGTTAAAGTAATTATAACAGTGGAATTGGTGCTAGGAGAGAAGAAAGAACTCCCATCCAAAATCCACAGATATAGAAATATACAATTTATGTCAGAGGTGGCACCATGCACAGAGTAGGTGGATCCAGGAGGATCTTTTTATTTTTATTTTTTGTTTTGGTGGTGCTGGGGATTGAACCCTGGGCCTTGTGCATGCGAGGTAAGCACTCTACCAACTGAGCTATATCCTCAGCCCCATATACTTGCTTTTCTTTTTCTTTTTTTCCAGGAGGATCTTTTTCATAAATGGTACTGGGTGATCTCAATATCCCCAGTACCAAAAAAAAAAAAAAAAAACACCATAAAACAAAACAAAACTAAAAGAGCCTGGGGATAAGACACCTTTGGGCAAAATCCCTAGCACAAAAATAATAAATAAATAAATATGTCCTACAGGCTAAACCAAGAGGTCTCTCACGCCAAGTGGGCATTAGGCAATGTCTGGTGATATTTTTGATTGTTACAACTTGGGAGAGGAGAGCACTGCTGGCACCTAGAGAACAATACCCAATGTTGCCACTAAACACCCGCCAATACAAAGGACAACCCCCAATGATTATTCAGTCAAAAATGCCTACTGAGATTAAAACACCTTGGACTTGAGTGACCACATAATGTATATTGTGCATATAATTTAATATACAAAGAATCCAAGACACTTCTGAAAATGAAGAGGTAATATAAGTAATGATAACACGGTAACAGGTATAAACTAGGACATATATTCGCACATGGAAATTCCATTCCCAGGTATTCAGCAGAAATGCATACTTATTGCCATATTACAAGAATGTTCATAATAGCATTATTCATTACTGTGAAAAGCTAGAAACAGTATCAACAATAAATTGCAGCCCCTACTCAGAATAGAATAGTATATGGCAGTGAAAAAAGTCAAAATGCTGTATGAATAGAAAAAGTTCAAAAATAAACAACACTAAGTTACAGTGTTTAGGGATGCATGCTTAGGTGGTAAAATAATATTTTTTAAAGCAAGGAAGTGATTAGTCTGCACAAATGTCAGTGGTGACATGGGGAGAAGGGATGCAGAGCTTCTAAGGTGATGTCTTTCTTGAATAGGGTGATGGATTCATGGGTATTTCTTGGTGACACATCATGAAGCTCTTTATCTTCTTTTGTACATCTCTTTGTATGTATATGTGTATGTATGTGTGTTACATATAAATTTCATAATACAAATAATGAAATGGATTAAAAAGATTCAGAAGGGTTAAGAGGATGCATGTGGTAAAACCTAACATTATATTTTATAATAACCAAAAATTTTAAATAATGTTTTATTTTGGTAAGTATGATGAAAAACTTTGAGATGATTCCAAACAAGTCAAACATGGATCTTTCCAACTTGTTTTTTCCTGCAGTGTCTCTACTGAGGACAGCAAAATATAAGGGGCTCCAAAGAGAAACAAAAAGTGAGAAAAAAATAATACAAAGTTGATTTAACTTCACTCCCGGATGAAAGAGCAATACAGAATATATATATTCCTTCCATAAAAGAACATACTGACATTGTCACAAAATACTTGTTTATGGAAAAATATTAATATAAAAAAATAACCTATTTTCATTACCTTTCATGTTAGTGACCTATACAGACCTATAGATTTTATAGTTAAAAACAAGGTTAGAAGATAAAAAGCTACAAAAGCATAAAAGACTTTACTATTTTGAAATCAGATGAGAATATTTTTATGTCTTAACCATATATGCACTGTACAATGAAGAAATTGGGCCAAGTGCAGTGGTTCATGCCTTTAAGTTCTGTTATTCATGAGGCTGAAGGAGAAGAACTCCAAATCTGAGGTCATCCCAGGCAACTTAAAGAGGACCATCTCAAAATAAAATTTCCAGCTTGGTGGTAAAACCCTTGCCTAGCATTTACAAGGTCCTGGGTTCAATCCCCAGTACTACAAAAAATTAAATAGTTTTTGGTACTGGGTATTTAATCCAGGGGTACTTTATCACTGAGTCACATCTTCACTCCTTTTTATTTTGAGACAGGGTCTCACTAAGTTGCTGAGGGCCACACTAATTTGCTGAGGCTGGCCTCCACTTTATGATCTTCCCATTTCAGCCTCCCAAATTTCTGATTACAGATACATGCCACTGCGACCAGACAGAATTTTTTTTAAGATGAAGAAATTGGCTGGCTTTTGTTTGCATACTTGGGAGGTAACTTCTAAATCCATAGAATTTTTCAAATAATAGAAGTTTCTTGTCATTCATACTAATTTCTGATAATATGTACTAATGAGGTGACTCATGGAGGAACCCTGGATAATTTGTACTAACAAGATGACTCAGAGAGGGGGCTAGCTAATCCAGAAAGATAACCATGTTATTAGATATGGGCTTTTGGCCTCTTGATATCAGTTTGACCTCTGGGGAAGGTAGGAGGGATTTAGACTGAGCTCAATCTTAGTACCAGTGATTCAGCCAATCATTTTCTGGAATGAAACCCTAGCACTCGGGATACCAATGCTTATATGAGCTGCCATGGTAGAGAATATCCCATGAGTACTACTATTATACCTAAATGTATTAGAAGGGTGTTAATTTCTGACAGGGAAAAGATGCCAGAAGGTTCAAGTCTAGGACCCTCTTAACCCTCACCCTGTGAGCCTCTTTTTTTGGCTGACTCTGATTTTGTGTTCTTTTTTCTCTAGGACATTTAAGTTTCAAGCATAGTGCTTTCCTAAGTTCTATGAGTCACTCTGGAGAACTGTTGAACCTTAGGAGATAGTGATACCTCAGAACATGTGACTGTGGCACCTTAGGATTTGTGTCTGGTATCTGAAGTGAGAGCAGTGTTGTGGAAGATTCTGTGAAATCTAGTCTAACTCCAGGTATTTAGTGTCAGAAGTCATTGCAACCTTGTAACAAGTAGATACTATGAACTTCATTTTGTAAATAAGAGAATCTAGGCATAGAGAGAGGTCAAGTTGCTTGCCAAAGATTGGACAGTTAGTGGAGAACCACTAACTGGATTTGAATCCAAGTCTGCCTGACTCCAATCCTGTGGCCTTAAATACTGAGCTAGCTCTGTCCCTAAGTGACTGGATAAATTAAGAATTTCATTTATAATATGAATTTGTAATATTGTTTAGAAAGTGTGTATGTGTGGTTGGGTACAGTGACACACTCCTGTAATCCCAGAGACACAGGAGGCTGAAGCAAGAGGATAGCAAGTTAAAGGTCGGCCTCTGCAATTTAGCAAGGCCCTAAGCAACTTAGTAGGACCCTGTCTCAAAATAAAAAATAAAAAGGACTGGAAATGTAGCTCAGTTGTAAATCACTCCTGGTTTCAATTCTCAGTAACAAAGAAAGAAAGAAACTGTGTGTATGCACTTGCCTATGTACATATATATACATAAACATGCATATATTTTATGGAAAACACCAACTAATAACACCAGTTTTTAAACCCCATTAATTGATCACTTATAAATCACATAATGGAATTCTATTTTGCTGAGTAATAACAGAGTTTTCCAGATAGCATTTAGAATTATTCCCTACCACATATTTTTCCATCACAGTATACACAAAATAACGTCAAAACTTGCCTAAGAACAGACACTAAAAACAAAAGGAGAAACAACACTATTACAGAACAATACCACAAACTCTGCATTTTCATAAAATTTGAACAATGCAAACTTACTTCTTCAGCAGACATGTGAAATCGTAAAGCACTTGGCAAAACACTGCCATATTCCCACCTGAGAGCTCTAATCCGAAGCAATCGGTCATACCTACAACGTATAGAAGGAATTAGACAGTATAAGAATTAAAGGGGGAAATTAGAAGTTGTTCTGATGAGGACAGACTCAGGATTCACAACAGCCTAAATAAAACATACTTGTTTCTTGATGTAAACAAGCCAATTATAAGAAGGTATCTTTGAAACAATGGAACAAACATGCAGATGGACTGAACAGATGCCATGAAGACATTGTTCACTCCTCCAGTTGTGACACCATACAGTGGTTATAAAGGTCCAAATGATCCTTATTTTTTACTTTTACTTTTTTTATATTTTGGTACCAAAGATTCAACTCAAGGTGTTTAACCACTGAGCTATGCCCCCAGGCCGCCCCCTTTTTTAAAAAATTTTTTGAGATGGAGTCTCACTAAGTTGTTTAGGGCCTAGCTAATTTGCTGAGGCTGGCTTGGAACTTGTGATCCTCCTGCCTCAGCTTCCCGAGCCATTGGGATTAAATGTAGCGCCACCATGCCCAGCCAATTCTTATTTTTTAGAGAAATAAGAAAAACATTAAAGATACTAAAATAGTCAGTGGTACAGTGCATAATATTCTAAAAATGTATATGATGAAGTACTATGGCAAAATATTAAAAAGACATAAAGGTACTGGGGATGTAGCTCAGTTATAGAGTGCTTTCCTAGCATGTGTGAGGATAAGTCCCATCCCCAGTATTGCCAAAAAAATAAAAAATAAAATAAATTGACCTAAGGGGATATGATGACTCTGAGGGTTTATTAATCTTCTTCCTTTAATGAATATTGCAATTTTTCATAACAAATTTTTAAAAATAGAAAAAGAGAAGATTTAGAATATTTATAAAGAGACAAGAGATAGCCAGGCACAGTGGTACACATCTACAAGCTTAGCAACTCAGGAGGCTAAGACAGGAGGATACCAAATTGGAGGCCAGCCTCAGCAACTTACCAAGATCCTGTTTCAAAATAAAAAATTTAAAGGCCTGGGGGTGCAGCTCTGTAGTACAGCATCCCTGGGTTCAGCCACAGTACTGTAAAAAATGTTTTTAAAAAAGAGAGACAAATCTAAGATTCCCTGCTACCCATTTGGAAAGGTTATCTGGAAAACCAAACCACACAGAAAACCCTCTGGGTTCCTTCCATCCCAAGCAAACAGTGAGAAACTTACAAGTAGGCAACAGTGCAGCGTCGATTTCTTAACAGAGAACAGTGTCGAAATTTAATAGTTGGTATCAAATCACCTCGTCCACCCAACTTTGCTTCATTTCTGATAAGAACATTAAAAGAACAAAATGTATATATGGGTATGTTACCATATTAGTAAAAATTTCAAAGCCAACAACTACTAACTTAAATGCTTGGGGTTTTTTTATTTGTTTGTTTGTTCTGGGTTATTTTGTGGTGCTGGGGATCAAACTCAAGGCTTTGTGCATGCTAAGCAAGCACTCTTCCACTGAGCTACACTTCCCACCCCACAAATTGTCCAAATACAGGGAACAAGGAAAACTATTTCCTTATTGGACCAAGGACTGCTAGACCAACTCCAAAATATCTTTATTTTTCTGTTCACTTTTACTAACTCCAGGTCACCTCTCCAGTCACCTAGATAACCAATGTGTCTCCCTCTTCTCTTAGCTTCCCCAGGAGCTGTGCGCAGGACAGCCAGGATAGTTTCTTAAGACACAAATGAGTCACCACCCATCCACACTTAAAAATTGCATTTGGTGTCACCCTCTGTTCCTTACTAAGCAATCAGTGCCTCAATAAAACCACTTCTCCTTTAGGCCTCAGCTGAAATGTCTCTTCCTTAGAATGGCCCTGATTCCTCAACCTAAGTTGTATCTTCTTTAAGTGTCTCCCAGCCCTCTGTTGCTTTCTTTCACAGCATGTCTCCCAATTTGGTATGTCTGTATTTAATATTTATCTCTGCACTAGACTAAGAGTCACAAGAACAGGAATCTGGGCTATGTCAATTACGAGGAAAATACTAGGGCCATTTGTTGGCATATCCTTTTTCAGTGCATATTTGTTGAATGAATCAATGAATGTCATTTGCTGCAACTCTGCTGAGGTTCAGTTCCTCATTCCATCTATAAAGATTTTTCTGTTATTTATCCTAATACACAGAAATGGGAAAATGCTTCTATCATTTGTGTGCCCCACAAATCTTATCAGCATGCCACTGATTTCGATATCAAACTAACTCATAAAAACATTCTACCTAAGCCATTCTACCTAGGCTACACTCTACAAGGCCAAAGAGGAAATCTCATGTCACAGAGATAGATGTATCTCTAGATTTAGATCTTGGCCACCTCAATTTTGATCCAGCACTTTATGTCACTGGAACCTGTGAAGTTTGTCACATAGCCCAGATTCCTCTTTGTTCCAATTAGCATGTTCAGATCTAAATATTCTATGAAACTAGAGGCTTCTCTTGACCTACTAAGCTGTAGACCTCTGTTACATCAGTTCTCAGTGAAGTCCACTCAAGCTATCAGAAATCACTTGCTATTAGTGCCATTTTTACAAATTATTCCTTAGACAAATTAAGGCATCTATTAATGAAAAGGTGGAAACTATATATTTCACTTTGTTATGGTTTTTATTTGCTTGTGTCTCATCTTTTTAAGTCTGCCTTAATTCCTTTTAACTCAATATATATTAGTCAAACCACAATAATTTTTAAACATCTACCACTTACCAAGCAATGATCAACACAAATCCATCTATGTCCTGGCTCTGTGTTAACTTGTACAGTTAGGGTATGATCAGGCTCACAGAGAATTGGGGGAAAAAAAAAAAAATCCACATCCCAAAACTGACATAAGCCAGGCATGATGGCACACACTGGTAACCCAGTGACTCATGAGGATTCCAAGTTTGAGGCCATCCTTAGCAACTTAGTGAGGCCCTGTCTCAAAATCTCAAAATAAAAAAAAGGGGGGGCTGTGCATGTAGCTTAGTGGTTAAGTGCTCCATGGTTCAATCCCGAGTACCAAAAAGGAAAACAAACAAACAAACAAACAAAAAACAAATACAAACACCAAAAAAAATAATGTAAGATTATATGACTTCAACTTCTTAAATTGTTTTAAAATATCAAAACTTACACATCAGACTGGTTTTGTTCATATAAAGCTTTCATTTCCTCCAGAACTTGTCTGATTCCATCCTCCTAAAACATATCAAAATATTGATACAAAGTCACTTATTTCTCTACCAAATCTGTGACAATATTGTTTGTACTATATTGATCTTTGATTTACAAACCTTACAAAAAAAACAATAGGATGGCCGTGGTGTTAGCAAATAATGTTAACTGGATATCCCCATGAAAAAAACAATCCATTGGCTCATCAAAAGTTAAAAAGAATTATTATATGATCCAGCAATTCCACTCCTAAGTACATATCCAAGCAAACTGCAAACATGTTCCCACAAAAATCTGTACAGAAATGTTCTTAGCAGCATTATTCATAATAGTCCAAAAGAAGAAACAACTCAAAATGTCCATCAACTGATAGATGAATAAACCAAATGTAGTATAAACCTTCAATGGAATATAATTCAACCCTAGGAAGACATGAAGTACTGATAGATGCTACAACATGGATGAATCCTGAAAACTTTATGCTAAATGAAAGACACCAGACACAAAATAAAAAGTATTGTTATGGCTCCACTTATCCGAAATATTTAGCAAAGACAAATTCATATAGACCCAAAATAGTTTAAAGGTTACCAGAAGCTGCAAAAAAAGGGAAACAGGTACAATTATTGCTTAATGGTGAAAGAGGCTCTGTTTGAGGTGATAAAAAGGTTTCGGGAATAGTGGTAATGATTGATGACAATGTGAATATAATTAATGCCATTAAAGTTCACAGTTAAAATGGCTTTATATAGCTGGGCGCGGTAGCACAAGCCTGTACTCCCAGTGGCTTGGGAGGTGGAGGCAGGAGGATCTCAAGTTCAAAGGCAGCCTCAGCAATTCAGCAAGTTTTGCTAAGCAACTCAGTGAGACCTTGTCTCTAAATAAAATACAAAATAGGGCTAGGGATGTGGCTCAGTGGAGTGCCCGAGTTCAATCTTGGTACCCAAAAGAAAATGACTTTATATGTGTACATCTTACACAGTGAAAAAAATGTAAAGGCTCAATTAAAAGGAATGAATTACTGAAACCATACAAAATAAGTATAATCTCAAATATATTACACTAAGCTAAAAAAGGCCAGGCACAAAATAGTGTATACTATGTAATACCATGTAGCCCTTTACAGAAAAAGTTTGCCAGTTCCTGGATGTGGAATCCAACAATATGCAGAAAAGGAGAAATATAACCTGTAGTGAGAGAAAGCAAATTTGTGGTTGCCAAAGGCTGTAGCAGGGAGGTTGGCTACAAAAGAGAACAGTGGTGGGCTTTACAAAATCGTGATCAGGATACTGGTTATAAAGTATACATTTGTCAAAATTTGTAAAGTCTATTAAAATGTATATTTTGTTATATATAAATTATATCTCAGGCAGGTGTAGTGGCACACACCTATAATCCCAGCAGCTTGGGAGGCTAAGGCAGGAGGACTGCAAGTTCTAACCAGCCTCAGCAACTTAGTGAGGCCCTAAGCAACTTAGTAGAAACCCTGTCTCAAAATAAAAACTTAGTAGCAAACAAACAAACAAAAACCCTCAATAAAAATGAATGCAAAAAAATAATAATAGAAAGAGATTAATGAGACATGACAGCTAAATTCTTATTTGGATTCCTAAAACAAATAAATTAGTGCTGAAACCAAAAAACAAAAAAAATTAATGCCAAACTATGTATTTGTGCAGTGATGGTTCGAATTCTTCTTACATAAGAAATCTGTACATTTAGGCACCTTGGAATCAAAAGAGTATACAAAAAATCCCATATTTTAAGAAACAAATAATAATAATAATAATAATAATAATAATAATAATTGCTTCCTACAGAATAATAATAATAATTGCTTCCTACAGAAGCAATAAGGCATGCATAACCAAAGCAAGTAAATTATTATTTACTGAAAATGGTCTTTAAAGGGTTAATTACCCCACCCCAAAAAAATACTTTAAGTTTGTACTACAAGAATAAGAAGGCCAAAGGAGTTTTCCTACTACCCACCCTGGAGCAATTTTTTTAAAACTTTCTATTAAATAAAATATTAAATTTCATGAATGTTACACAGTAACTCTGTGAACAATCCAAAGAAAAGATTCCCATTTGTTTTCCAATCTATTCTTAGGACCAAAATATATGTATTAGCATAAATATTTTTGGTAGAAGATGAAATAATAAAGCACTTGCCTAGTATGCACAAGGCCCTGGGTTTGATCTCCAGCACTGAAAATAAAACTTTTGATATACCAATGCACAACTACTTAACCTACTCAAGATATAATTCCTGATAAAAATTTAAGCTGGGGATATAGCTTAGTTGGTAGGGTACTTGCCTCACATGCACAAAGCCCTGGGTTCAATTCTCAGTACCACACACACACACACAAAATGTAAGCATGACTTTTACTTTCTCTTTTAGCATCTAATTTTTAAAAATTATGGGAAGGTCTGATTTATAAAAACTCAATATTTTTATAAACAAATGTTATTTTAAAACATTGTACAACTATATATCTGTAGGTATACAAAAGCCAAATATGAAATAATTCTTTGAAATATACGCAAGTTTTCAGACTTTGAGTTTTATCTATAGAGGAAATTACATCTATTCTGTGCCCATCTCAGACTATAAGCTTCCAACAGCTCAAGATAATAGTCTTTCATTTAGGGTACTCAGGATTGAACCCAGAAGCACTTAACCACCGAGCCACATTCCCAGCCCTTTTTTATTTTGAGACAGGATCTTGCTAAATTGCAGGTGCTGGCCTCCTCCTGCCTCAGCCTCCCAAATTGCTGGGATTACAGATGAGTGCCATCATGCCTGACCCCAAGATAATATTCTTAAAAACATTTTTTTTTTGGCTGGGGATGGGGGTACTCTACCACTGAATTATATTACCAGCCTTTTAAAAATTTTTTTGAGATAAGGTCTCACTCAGTTGACTAGGCTGGCCTGGAACTTGTGATCACCCTGCCTCAGCCTCACAGGTCACTGGGATTATAGACTGAAAACATACTTTTTAGGGGGAAAAAAATTCAGTTCTGCATACAGAAAGGTAGTAATCATTTTTTAGTTTGCTGAATTACAGCACCCAACCACAAGTGATTCTAGACTAAACAAGGCAAAGCCTCTGCTCTAAACCCCTGGCTGTCATCTACCTGGGATGGGAGGAATGAAGAGATGATTTTTTTTTTTTTTTTAAATTGAGACAGGGTCTCCCTATATTGCAGAGGTTGGTTCTGAACTTGTAATCCTCCTGCCTCGCCCTCTGAGTAGAGCTGGGATTATAGGCATATACCACCACATGATTCTTGAAAGACTGCTGCATCTCAGATCAAGTATTGTCTTCTCCCATTCAGCTGTGTCTGAGGCCAGTCTCTACAGACTCAGTCTTCCAGGCAGCAGAGTCACCTGCCTAGCAGGTGTTTTAGTCAGTGGAAGGCACTAATGAGCAAAAGATAACAAAAGATACTCTCACAAATTAAGACCTTAAAGATAGTGATGGTCACTGTCTTCACATTACAGCTTCTAAGACTCTGGCCCCCTAAACCAACACTTTAATCTTAAAATTTGAATAAAAAGCCAGGCATGGTGGTGCATACCTATAATCCCAGTGACTTGGGAGGATAAGGCAGAAAGATCAAAATTTTGAGGCCAGCCTGAGCAATTTAGGGACACCTGTCTCAAAATCAAAAATAAAAAGGACTGGGGACATAGCTCTGTGATAAAGCACACCTGGGATCAATCCCCGTACCCCCTCCGCCCAAAAAATTGAGTAAAAAGAGTTAAGATTAACCAATCATAGTGGCACACACCTGTAATCTAAGCAGCTCAGGAGGCTGAGGGAGGAGGATCGTGAGTTCAAAGCCAGCCTCAGCAACAGTGAGGTGCTAAATTACTTGGTGAGACTCTGTCTCTAAATAAAATACAGAATAGGGCTAGGGATGTGGCTCAGTGGTTGAGTAACCCTGAGTTCAATCCCCGGTATCCCCCCTCCCCCCAAAAAGAATTAAGACTAAGAAGTGTATGAAGAGCCAGGTTCTAAGGCCAGCCCACCAGCACCTGTTTGGACACTTCTCCGCCTCTTTGGGCCCCATTTCCTCATATGTAAAATAACCTCCACAATAACTAGTTCTATGATCCAGTATGGAGCCAAATTTTAGAGCCTACACACATTCCAGCATCTCTGCTCAGTTTTGCACTATTGTCTTCTCACTTTTTAAATGAGGTAACCTTACTTTTTTTTTTAGAGACAGAGTCTCATTGAGTAAAAAGACAGACATGGTAAGGCTTAGCGCCTCATTTTTGCTGAGGCTGGCTTTGAAGTCTCCATCCTCCTGTCTCAGCCTGCCAAGCCGAGGCAAGCGCCTCTGAGCCCTGCATGAGGTATAAGTTGAAAAAGAGATTACAATCTAAAAAGCCTGAGTTCAAGTTGAGGCTCTGCCTCCAATATGCTCTAAATTGAGACCAGTCCCTTAACTCTGATCCATAATTTCCCTTGGTTCAGTTTCCTCCTTTGTAAAATGGTGTAAGTGTAAAGACTAGGACTTTTTTTTTGTCTGGGGATTGAACCTAGGGCCAAGGGCCCAGTCCCAGACTAGGTGCTCTTTATTGTTCAAAACAAAATTCATTACCTTTTCCCAAAAGGAGTTCATTTTTAACTTATGGTTTCCTATTACCTGAGAATCTTTCCAAGATCCTGGCCCATTCATTATCTACCCCCATTTCTACCCATTTTAATAGTACAGATCCTGTTTGTCTCAGATACTGATTTTAGTGCCACTGACTTGACAATTTCAAGTACACACAACTGTCACCTGACCTACTGTAATCACACAAACAATCTTTCTGCCCCCATTTGGTCTTCTCTTCAATCCATCCCCCCATACTGCTGCCATAATTACACTCAAAATGCAAAAATTATTCACCTGCCTAAAATCCTCTACCAGCTTTCAAAACACACATTATGAATGAATACTTAACTATTCTAGACTGCAAATCCACCTTTACATGCCCTTTCAGTCACCTTTGCAATGTAACCATGTGTCTTTGTATTACCATATCCTTCAGCTAGAATGCCTCAATCCCTTCTGAATGTAACCTCATCCTTAAAGATGATGTGGCTCAAAGGTACCCTTTTGTGGGCTGGGGCTATAACTCAGTGGCAGAGAGCTTGCCTAGCATGTGTGAGGCACTGGGTTCCATCCTTAGCACCACATAAGAATAAATAAAGGCATTTTGTCCATCTACAACTACAAAAAATAAAAATAAAAATTTTTAAATACCCTTTTCTAGTCCCATCCCCACCAGTTTACTTTGTGATTCTCCTTCATGTTCCTTATCTATAATTCCTATAATTCATTGGCACCACTTATCACGCTGCATATCATTACCTCTACGCTCCTCCCCCAGAAGAATGTGTCCTGGCATCCACACTATGGCTGCCCTAGGATAGGGGAGGAGGTCAAGCACAGCATTTAGAGTGCAAGCTCTGGAGCCAAAGTGCCATGACTGGAAACCTTACTTTAGTTCTTACCTGCTATCACCTGAACAAGATACTTAATCTTCCCAAGCCTTGGCATATGTAGCTAGAAAAATGGGGGGGAGGGGGGGAGATTGTTGAAACCTAAAGGGTTTATTATTTGGACGTGATGATGTAGGTCAACGGCTTGGCACCCTGCCTTAGGGAGAAGTTACAGAAAAATAAGAATAATCACATTAATAATAGTAATAATAATCTTAGTAGAAATAAAATTAACAGCAACCACTGACTCTGCTTTACCGTATGTCAGGCATTGTTCAGACACCCTCATTGCACAACGAGCTAGTTACTATCATCATCATTCCCATTTTTGCAGAGAAAACTGATAACAAGAAAGCTTGAATAACTGCCCCACAACCAGAATCTCAGGCTCTTTCCGGAAGCTGTCCTGCCCTCTGCCCTGGTGCGGGGGATTCTAGGCAAACACTCTACGAGCTACACGCCAAGCCCTGCAGGCCAGGCTTTTAGTTACATTTCGCTGCCGGAGTGGACAGCAAATGCTAGCTCACTATCAGGCAGAAAGCAAATATTTGGTTAAATAAAGAAACTGCGGCAAAACTAGACAATGAAAAGTACTCAATTATACTCAAGTGAGGAAATGCACTAAGCAGCTGGGAAATAAAAGCATGAATACTTTGTGTTCCCTCTTATACTTTGCTGTGCCGCGTTCCAAAAATTTATCACGACTTGGTTGCTAACCACGTGGGAAAGTAAATCCTCCAGGTGAGATGCAGGGAAGAACTGCCAGGAAGCCGTCCAGGCCCCGCCCCTTTCAGGTCTAGACCGCCGTCCTCACATTGAAAGCGGGTAGCTGCCCTTCTGGCGCGCGGTGCAGCTCACGAACCAGCTCCACAGCTTTTTCGCAGAACATGACGGACTCTCTCGGGTCCCTCAGGCTTTCAATCCAAACAGTCGCAGGGCTCTCGGCTTCCGCGTACCTTCTGTTCTGCACACCACAGCTTCAGCTCTTTGCCTCCTCCTCTGCGACGCGCTTTGGCGCCAAACAAGCCTAGCCAATAGGAACGCGTTGCCGAATCTTCTGCCCTACGGCAGCCAAAGAGGGACAAAGACGACTCTGCGAGACTGTGTTACAGAAAGGGCAGAATAAGGGGGTTGGTTTTTTCTTTAGTGATGCCCAGCTCTCAGTACAAAGAACAAGCAGCCTGGCGTTGTTCCAGACGGCTGTTGCTATCGCCTCAACTTGCTATCACCTGAACAAGATACTTAATATTCCCAAGCCTTGGCATAAGTAGCTAGAAAAATGGGGGCGGGGGAGACACTCGCTGGTGTTTTCGTTTTCCTTTTGCAGCAGGATTTTTCGTTTGATAACCCTCCTGGGTTGGGTGCCTCCTGTGTGGTAAGGACTGTGATACATATTTATTTTTTTAAAAAATTTTGGTAGTTGTCTATGGACATTATGCCTTTATTTTGTGGGGCTGAGGATGGAACCCAGTGCCTGACTCCTGCTAGGCAAGCTCTTAGCCACTGAGTTATGGCCCCAGCCCTATTATACTTAATTTTCATAACGTTCGCTAAAGGTGGTTAAGACTCTGAACTGATAAAGAAACAGAAGTTAGATAACTTCCCCAAGATCACAAAAGAGCTCATAAACTCAATTAGACCTTGTAGCTAAGCTTTCCACTTTTGGCTCAGTACCATCCTTTTTTTGTTTGTTTGTTTTGTGTGTTTGTGGGGGGTTTTGTTGTTTGTTTTTTGTGGTATTGGGGATTGAACCCAGAGGCTGTCTACCACTAAGCTATAATCCCAACCCTTTTATTTCTTATGAGGAATATTAATTTTATTGTGGTTATCTGGGATATTTTTTATTAGAGTACTATAATTATACATAGCATTGGGATTATTTTATTTTGAGACAGTCTCTTTAAGATGCTGAGGCTAGCCTGGAACTTGTTATCCTGCTTTAGCCTCCTGAGTTGCTGGGATTATAAGCATGCATCATCATGCCTGGCGTATTTGGCTAATTTGAAAACAAAAACAAAAAAACAAGTCTTTTTTTCTTTTGATGCTGGGGATGGAACCCAGGACCATGCTATGCTAGGCAAGGGCCTTTAGCCCCTAAGCAATATTAATTTCTAAAAAGCAGTATTGGATTCATTGTGGCTAACCCTAGAAATAATGTTGCTCTTTTGCAAAGTAGATAAAGTACACATTATCTGATAAAGGGAAATGGCCCATTAAAAAAAAAAAAAAAAAAAAAAAACAGTTTCTGGACCTTATCCTTCCATTTCTTCTAAACACTAAAGGATAACTTTTTTAAACCAAGTACATACTTCTATCATGGACCATGCTGTGGGATTTTGACCCAAAGACAAGCATCCATAATCCTCAGCCATATATCTTTTCAATTTCAGGCAGAAGGCAGAGTCCCTTAATGAACTTGAGACTCACTTCCTTACTTGTAAAATGGGGACCCTAGTGGCATTGCTGAGGAGTTGTGAGAATACAGTCTCTCCCTCAGGAAATATTTACAAAGTGCCTACTATGAGCCAGACATTGGTCTGGGCATTGAAAATACAGCAGTAAATAGGTCTTTTCTCAGATTTTACATTGCAGTGTGGGGAAAAAAAAGAGATACAGACACATTGACAAATATATTGGTGACCAGCACTAACAAGAATAAGTCAAGAGGGCCTGGGATTGTGGCTCAGAGGTAGAGCGCTTGCCTAGCACATGCGAGGCACTGGGTTCAATCCTCATAATAAATAAATAAATAAGTCAAGAAAGGTGAACACAGTGAAGGTGAGTCTGAGGGTTTTAAGTTAAAAGTGTTCAGTGAATACACAGATGTGAAGGGGGAGGGAGCACGCCCTGTAGGTGTGGGCAACTGGACGACAGGGAATTGCAGGTAGCAGGTATTAAAGTGCAAAGGTTCTGAGCAAGGGTGACTGTGGCATGTAAGGACCAGGAGGAAGGCAGTGATTGAGGAAGGACCCTGTATGTCCTTTCATAAGCTTTCAGTTTTATTTTGAATGAGTTGGGGAACCATCAAGGTGATTTTAACAAATGAGTGACAGAATTACATGCGGCATAGGAAAAATAAAAATCCTATGTGGCAGCTGAGTTCAGTAGACAGAAATGAAGCAAAGGTAGAGGCAGGAGGGAGACCACCCCTGCTATTAAAATAATCCAAGTGACACATGATGTCTTAGCCCAGGGTGGAGATGGTAGAGGTGATGAGAAGTGTTGGAACCTGAGTAGATTCTGAAAGGGGAGCTGGCTGACAAAGTTTGATGCCAGAAGAAAGAAATCAAAGGTGACCCCAGAGTTTTAGCCCAAGGCAGCACAAAAACAGAGTTGCCATTTCCCAGGAGGGGAAGCTTATGAAGTTAGAGTGGAAGAAGAGCTGGGAGTTGTTTTGAACACAGTAGTCTGGGTGCCTGTCAGATATCAGAGATGAATAGATCTCTGGATAAAGAAGCCTGGATTCAAGGAAAGGAGGGGGCCATATTTAATGTCTCAAAACCAGGAGATAACTATATGGGGAAACCCAGGGCCAGTGAGAAAGATTTAATACCAACTTATATTTCTTTTTTCTTCTCTCCAGCTCTCCCTGTCTTTCTTGCCCCCCCATCCCCTTATTAAAAAGGATTTTGTGCCAAGGCAAGGTGGGCACACACCTGCAATCCCAGCGGAAGACTGAGGCAAGAGGATTATGAGTTCAACATAGTGAGATCCTAAACAACTCAGTGAGACCCTGTCTCTAAATAAAATATAAAAAAGGGCTATAGATGTGGCTCACTGGTTAAGCACCTCTGGGTTCAATCCCTGGTACCCAAAAAAAAGGGGTGGGGGGATTTTGTGACAGATAAAATAATTTTTCTACACTTTAACTTCTGAATCCCCAAATCCCCAGTACTGTTATTTCACTTCAAAGAATTCACCTTTTAAATTCCACAGTGTTTTAAATTGGCAATTATACCCAGGGGATGCTTTTCCACTGAACAACATGCCCAGCCTTTTTTGAAACAAAGTCTCATTAAATTGCTAAGACTGGTCTAGAATTTGTGATCCTCCTGCCTCAGCTTCTAAAGAAACTATAGAAAGTCAAAGCTGTAAAACTAAATCTGTGAGCTAAACTGCCCTTTATTTCCTTTGCTCTATTTAGAATGGGTTGAATTAATACTTAATTGGGTTTCACAAGTGCAAAGTCATCTTTGAAATGGATTTCCTCAAAGGGGTAAATGCTTTTAAAAATCCAAAATCTGTTTTCAAAGAGTAAACTGTTGCCAGGCATGGTGGCGATGACTGTAATCCCAGTGGCTCATGAGGCTGAAACAGGAGGATCTAGGGTTCAAAGCCAGCCTTAGCCACTGAGCAAGACCCTGTCTCAAAATAAAAAAATAAAAAGGGCTGGGATGTGGTTCAGTGGTTAAGCACCCAAGGTTCAATCCCTAGTACCAAAATAACAAAATCACTAAAGAGTAAACTGTTTAAGCAGTTCACTGTTTCATATATTGGATCCCAAGGTTATATATATATATATATATATATATATATATATATATATATATACACACACACACACACACACACACACACTTTTTCAAATGAAAAATTAACTCCCTGAAGGCATCTTTTAAAAGCCAAAGTCCTGCACGGTGCCTGTAATCCCAGTGACTAGGAAGGCTGAGGAGAGAGGATCACAGGTTTGAGGCCAGACTCAGCAATTTAGCTTAGGCCCTAACTAATTGACAGAGACCATGAATCAAAATAAATAATGAAAATAAAACGGGCTGGAGGGGCTGGGGTTGTGGGTCAGAGATACAGCGCTTACCTAGCATGCGTCAGGCACTGGGTTCGATCCTCAGCACCACATAAATATAAAATAACTAATAAATAAATAAATAAAACTGGCTGGGGATGTGGTTTAGTGGTAATGTGCCTTGGTTCATCCCCAGCATCCCCCCCCCCCGTCAAAAAAAGAGTCCTTCTGGAAAAATAGCAACTAATCATTAAAACGGAATTGTGATGTTACCTTTTTGTTCATATAAACCTAAATGAGCAGTAATCCAGGGTTAGGAGCCAGAGGCCCTGGGTTGGAACGGGAGGGAGACAACTTTGGGCAGCAGCTCAGGCTCGCAGGGTGGCCACTTTCTGGCCGGCGTCCTCCCAGTGTTTTCGCCGTTCGGACCACTGAACTGAGGCACCACTGGATTGTCTGCGGGTTACAAGAATGCCCAGAAGGTAGTCCCCTAGCCCCATGCCGGACCCAGTCCTCTGCGCTGCAAAACCTAACAACCTTGCGCTGCCCTGACAATGACGCGAGGAGGCAGCTTCTACCGCCCTACTCCAAGATGGCTGCGGGTCGGCGCTGGGGATGCTGGGCGCGCTCCCCGAGGGACCCGGGTGGAGTTGACAGGGCGGGGGGGGGGGGGGAGCAGAGCGAGCAGGATTCTGGCGCTGATTGGCCTGTGAGGCCGACCGGCCCCCAGCGCTGGTCCTCAGCTGGCGCTGCGGCCTGGGGCTGAGATGTGAGGGGCAGCGGGCGGGCTCCCGGCGGTGAAGGCTGTGAGCTGCGGCGGCTGCGGCGAGGGCGGCGCAGGCGGGCGGGCGAGGCCAGCGGGCGCCGTGGGCGGCCGGCCTT